ATATTTTTATTCCCTATTTCAGTTAATGATTCTACCATATACTCAGTTCCCAAGCCATGAACCCGAGGCTCATCTTAAGTTTCTCTCTCACCCTTCACCTTTGTTCACTGAGTTCTAATGACTGTCATAACGGAATATATTTTGGAGCTATTCTCCAGATCATATCACTTCTCTGCTTAATCCCTGCAGTACCTTCCCAGTGTCTGCAGAGTAAATTCGTATGCCTTTACGTTAGATACAAAGTTCTTAACCCTACTTCATGCACCTGCTTTCTGCCTTTGACTCTGTTCTCCAACAAAATCCAACTACTGTGGCTCTGAAAATGGCCACATGCTCTCCTGTTTCTGTTTTTTCAGTTTTGATATTTTCTTTACCAGAGGCTTTTTCCTTGAAACTGGCAATAATTTCTTCCTATTCCTGTTGCTGCACTCCCACGTGTCTTTCGCTCCTGACCCTGGTAACTTTGAAAACTCCTTTTTCTGGGTCTCAAAGCTTCTTGACGTAACCATATTACAGGAAACACCACCTTGTTTGTCTTTGCCTGTCTTCTGCATTATACTCTGGGCGTCTTTGGGTTAGGGACTGCTTCTCTGTCTGTGTAATTCAGCATCTGTGGTGTGCCTTTGTACATAAGGAGAAGCTCAGTAAATGCTAGTTGGGTGAATAAAGTAGATTAGAGGTGCATGTGGCTCGAAACGGGAGAGGATGAGAATCCAAAACTGTGTGCAGGTTTTGTGAGAATATGTTGGGGTCTTCAGATTTTTTTCCCTTCTCAATTTCTAGAGGCAGTGGCTCTCCATGCTCATGCTTTTCTTGTGGCAGTGAGTCTGCCATACTTCCTGATGACTCCTGGATTGCCTGGCACTGCTTTGTGTTCTCTAAGGCTTCCCAAGACCAAGACATGGTCTCCACCCTGACAAAATGTACAAGGGAAATGGGCACCTTAAACCAAGTTATAAAACCAGTATATGATGGTGAAATGCAAAATTGATGGCTGCAGACAGCTGTGAGAAAGGAGAAAAGAATCAGGAGAGGAGGGGTTTGGCAAGTACCTTGTGGGAATTAATCTGAGGATGCTGCGAGGAAGTCATTTTCTCTCTAATCGGTGGTAGTTCATTTTCCAGTGAGTGTCTTAGAGTCTGTTCATAAATCCTTTGGTACCATTTTTGTTCACTCGCTGGAACACCCTTTTTATCCAGAGGTGATTTGTCTGTTTGTAGATGCCTGTTAAAGGGTAACACCTGAGGGGAGAGATTGTGTGAGAGATTCTTCACTCAGAAGAAATGATAGGGAAAAATAATGAGTGTATCTGACTTTAATTCTCAATTTTAAGTTAGTTTCGTGGGATTTAAAATCTTTATTCCCAGCCAGAGGTGGTGGCTCACATTTGTAATCCCAATACTTTGAGAAGTCAAGACATGAGAATCACTTGAACCTAGAAGTCCGAGATCAGGCTGGGCAACATAGGGAGACCCTGTCTCTTAAAAAAAATACACACGCACACACACACACACACACTCTCTCTCTCACATATTTTAGATGTATAAATATAGATATATAAATATATATGAAAAATGTATAAGGAAAAATGTATATGCGTTTTTTCATATATATATGTATTCATTCTAAAAGTTGAACATAGAATGTTTTTTAAGTTTTATTATTTTCATACTAGTTAAAAAAATGCTAATTTGATTTTTGGTGAACTAAAGTTTCAGAAATGGTTGTGAGTATTTAATGTTTATGTACCTGATAATTTATTCTCCCTCAAATTCAGTGATTCTCTCAAGTAGGTAAACTCATTCCTGAACAGTGAAGGAGGAAGGAACTCTGTACACTTGGAAAGTAGGGTGAGGTGTCTTCTCCTTTGATCAGCCTGTGTCAACATTCCCTTCTACCAATATTATTTTCACTTGAGGGTTCAGATTGCCACTGTTTGGCAGGAAGGAAGAGAAAACTCTCTTAATAGAATGTGATTTAATATGTTGAATGACAATTTGTGCTGTGTCAGTCTGCTTGGGAAAAGGATTAGAGGCAGTGTAAATGATCTGCTGTATCTGGTTGTAAAAGCATTTCAGGCATCTTTCAGAAGTAACATTAAACCCCTGGTCTCCAGTTCCCCAAAGTTGCTTCTCATTGACAGGTTTCTCTTGGTAGGAGTGAGTCAGGGAATAAACCAGTCCCAGACTCTCCTTTGCTGCTTCTGCCATGTCATGCCTTGCCCGGCCGTCAGGGCACACAGCCCGGGGAGGACTGAGGGCCTGGGTCCAGCCTCCTGCAGCCAGGGAGCTGCTGGCATCTGACTTGCTGTGAAGGTGATCCTGTTCTGCTTCAGAACTGATGACAGTTTGGTGCGTCTAGCTGAGCCCTGAGGGCAGCCGTCATGCCAGGTCAATGTTCAGGTTTACTCTGGACTCTGTGCTGGTGTTCCATTTGAGATTCTCTTAATTTTGGGGGGAGTCATTGCTCATGATGAATGAAAGACACAGGGAGGGGCCGGGGAAGGCTGGAGGCCAGCCCCCTCGCGGCACTTGGGCTCTTTCATAGAAAAGAACTGGATGGAGTTGAGCTCGCTGGGCACAGGGGATGACGTGGTCTTTGTTCCAAAGTGGACTGGATCCCAGAAAGAAAATAAATTAAAAGGAAATCATAGCAGTGGTCTACCAGTGGGTTTTGGTCCATTTGCCTGAAAATTGGCCCTTCTGTTGGAGCTGAATTTCTCCAATTAGCTAAACGTTTTTGTGGTGAAGCACTGTGGAAAAAGTGGCTTCACTGAAAGGGCAATTGTAGAGTCTTCTAGACTTTATAAATAGACTCAGGACAGGGAGAAGAACTGCCCTGTGGAGATACGGTTCATCTCTTGCTCAGCCATCTCCCCCACCCTCCCTGGGAACACACTTACGAAAGAAAGAGCTCAGAAAACCCTTTGGAGTTCCAGTGGTGCAGCTGGTTAGCACGCAGCACTCACGCAGAAAACTCTTCCTCATCAGAATCTTCTGCACAGGGTCCGCCAGTGTCCCCCGCAGTACCCCTCATAAACAATTTCTTCTTCCAGCCATCACCACCATCTCCAAGTCCTGCTTGTCTGGATTCAGTTGTTCTAGAGCTCCGTTTGTAAGATTTTCTCTCTTAACCCTTCATTGTAAGCTGGGTCAGGAGTCAATAAGAATTACTTTGTGCAATCAGTTTTCAAGATTACAGTCTGGGGAGCTAGCTTAATCAGAGCCTGGAATTTCTCCTGTGCTTCATTTTTAGGAGAATTGAAATCCATCTGACTGGGCACGGTGGCTCACGCCTATAATCCCAGTACTTTGGGAGGCCGAGGTGGGTGGATCACCTGAGGTCAGGAGTTTAAGACCAGACTCAACGTGGAGAAACCCCATCTCTACTAAACATACAAAATTAACCGGATGTGATGGTGCATGCCTGTAATCCCAGCTACTCGGGAGGCTGAGGCAGGAGAATTGCTTGAACCTGGGAGGCGGAGGTTGCGGTGAGCCGAGATCGCATCATTGCACTCCAGCCTGGGCAACAAGAGTGAAACTCTATCTCAAAAAAAAAAAAAAAAACAAAACCATCTAAGATGTTTTTTGAGAGCAAGGTCCTTGCTGTTGCTGGAGTTCTTGCTTGTTGTTTCTAGGGCCTGGGACTGAGGAAACATGAAGCTTTAATCAGCTATAAGCTGTTGGGGACTGGGGTTATGAACCTCTATATGTGTCACATTTGCTTCCATAGCAGTTTAGGACCATCACCTATAAACTCAAGGCCAAGTCAGTGCTATCTTTATAGAACATTGCTGCCTCTGCAGGGTTGCCTGGAGCAGTTAATATTTAATGGGGACTGAGGATTAGGCCTAAGGGCCGAGCCTTGATGGGTGCAGATCAGGTGCATTTTATAGTAGCTAGGAGGACCATGAAAGCAAGACCAGTAGAGGGAAATAACTGCTCTTGTGAGCTCTCTCTTCCATCTTCTGCATTTTCTACCCAAGCCCATAATGTACACAAATTATATTATACTAAACATATTTAATAAAATGGTCCCCTGTGAATGCATACATTGTGCAACTCATTTAAAAAAAATTAGCTTCGGTTTAAATTCATCCTGTGCCATCACCACAAAAGCCTAACTCTTTTGTAGTACCCTCCCTGATGTCCAAAGGGAAATGGAAGTTTGTCTATGTGTGGGATTTTAATGTTGGGGTATTAGAAATTACAATCCAAGGGCCGGGCGCGGTGGCTCAAGCCTGTAATCCCAGCACTTTGGGAGGCCGAGACGGGCCGATCATTAGGTCAGGAGATCGAGACCATCCTGGCTAACACGGTGAAACCCCGTCTCTACTAAAAAATACAAAAAACTAGCTGGGCGAGTTGGTAGGCGCCTGTAGTCCCAGCTACTCGGGAGGCTGAGGTAGGAGAATGGCGTGAACCCAGGAGGCGGCTTTCAGTGAGCTGAGATCTGGCCACTGCACTCCAGCCCGGGCGACAGAGCGAGACTTTGTCTCAAAAAAAAAAAAAAAAGAAATTATAATCCAAGATACCAGCTCAGAAGACAAGGCTCTTTTAGAGTTGTCTAATTTATTATGCAGTAAGTGGCAACTGAGAATGACTTAACCAATAGGTGACCAGAAAGGAACAGGTTGGACCCCACAGGGCTGGTGCGCTGCTTGGAGCTATTCTTGATTTCATTGGTTTATACCTGGACTGCTTATAGTGAGGAAGTCATTGTGGCCACCATTGTGCCTTTTATCTTCCATTATCTGATTCTGAGCATTGTGTTTTTTTGTAGGGAAAACATTCCTCACTGTGTATTATCTGTGGTTTATTTTAAGCATCTTTGATTAAAAAAAAAATGTAAAGGCAGGACACCCAGATACTGTCAGGCTGAACTGTAAATGTAATTTTATCATTTGATTAACAAATCAAGTAACACCATATAATTATTAGTGGAGTTTTTTCTTCTCTGGTATTTGTTTGAAATTCGATGCCTTTTTTTCCTCCTAGGTGACAATCCTAACCCTTCCAAGGAGGACACCCCTACTAGCAGTCTGGACTCACTTTCCTCCCCGTCTCCCGTGACTGCAGCTCTCCCTGGGCCTCCTGGACCAGACAAAAACCACCTTCTGGCAGACGGAGGGAGCTTTGGAGACTGGGCATCCACTATGTAAGTCACCATGCTTCTGTTGGGTGCTGAAGGGAGGAAGGCATGACTTAGTTCCTTTTGAAGTTTCCATGAGCAGTGACCAGTGGGTGCTGAAGCCATTACATCAAGGAACCCTTATTGTCTTATCAGAGGGGCCACCAAAGGGAGAAGGGTCCTTAAAACAGAGCCTTCCTTGAATACTCTCTTTGTTTCTAGTATGGAAGGGTAGATGGATGCTATGTCAAATCTGATCTAAGTTCAATTCCTGGGCAGTTTTGGATTCTGCAAAGGAAATTTGTTACTATCCCACCCAAGATATTTCCCCACTAGTTATGCAGACTTTTAGAGATGTGAGAATGCATGCTGATGGACAGACTGTTGAAACTGTCTATAGAATGATATTTTACTTACATGAATTTCTGAGAGCAGTATGCTAGCATTCTGCTCTGTTTTGCTCGATAGCGTCCTGCAGAGTTGAGACGTGATGGTTGACATGTTTGATTTTATCTTCTCAGTTTGGTTTAGTGCCAGGCATGTGCAGATCAGCTCAAGTATATTAGGACGAATAATATTAATACAAATAAAGTACCTTGAACCTGTGAGGGCTTGTCTGGCTGTGTTGACCAAGTCTGTTTAAAGACAGGATGGTGGTGATGTGGAACCCAAAAGGGCATCATGTTTCAAACAAGTGTTCAGAGAAGAGAAAACTCCACTAATAATTACAAGACAGTACTTGATTAGTCAATCAAATTTTATCTAAAAATGCATTTATAATTCATCCAGAGAGTCTTTTTTTAAAGATGGAGTTTTGCTCTTGTTGCCCAGGGTGGAGTGCAATGGTGTCATCTTGGCTCACTGCAACCTCCACCTCCTGGGTTTAAGTGATTATTCTGCCTCAGCCTCCCAAGTAGCTGGGATTACAGGTGTTCGCCACCACACCCAGCTAATTTTTGTAGTTTTAGTAGATATGGGGTTTCACCATCTTGGCCAGGCTGGTCTTGAACTCCTGACCTCAGGTGATCCACCTGCCTCAGCCTCCCAAAGTGCTGGGATTACAGGCGTGAGCCACCATGCCCAGCCCATCCAGAGAGTCTTAAAAAAATTTTTTTGAAGCCAAAGTTGCTTAAAATAAATTATAGATAATGGTGTCATCTGACCCTAGCTGGGCATTCTTGGGACTTTAAATGGACTGGAAAGTGTTCCTCAGATTACTTGGCTTTTTATAGTTACTGCTGGATTCACATGAAATGATTATGAACTTATTAAGTATTAAGAGAGGCTGGGAGACATTTGGCATGCCAGAATTTGGGGGTGACCTGAAGACTTTGAAAATCTAACTGGGACTCCAAGTATGGAAACACATTCTCCAGATGAGATTTTTTCCTGCCAATGTTTTCATCTGTGCTTATTTTTTATGCTGAGGATTGTGGATTTAAATCCTACATTACTCAGGTATGCTTGTCACCGGTACTGTTCCTTTTCCACAATAAAAATTTTGTTTCACCATAGTACTACAAGCAACAATAACAGTAGTTACCTAGGCACCCAGAGTCTATAATCCTGGTTACACTTGAGGTGGAATTTAGCTTGTGTGTGTGTTTTAGTGAAAACCAGATCCCTAATTATGCCTTTCGGTAAGTGGATATCACAGGCAGTGGAGTGCAGTTTAGGCAGTCATCTTTCTTCCATAGTAGTTCTGCAGAAAAGTGACATTATGAGCCATGGTACAGCCAACACTCAATTCACAACACGTCCATGCCTGAAACAAGAAGGGCTTGATATTTTTGGTCATAAATCAAATGAGGAGTGAATTCCCTAGCTTCCTATTCATACGCATTTTTAAATGTCATGAAAAGCACTCCAACCTTGAGAGGCCAAAAAGGGGGTTGGGGGGAGTAGTTGAAGCAAGCCTGGAGAGGAGATTTTTTTTTTTTTTTTTAAATGGAGAGTTTCTCCTACTTCAGAAACTTGATCTTTTTTTTTTTCTTTTTTTTTTTCTGTGCCATGGATGGAATACATCTATGTTTCTCTGAAGTATATATTAAAATGTTTCTTATGTATCTTTTAAAGGATTTACTGATTAGTGTGTATCGGTCACGATTTGTCATTATGTTAGCAAGTTTGTATATAGGTATGTGCCTCTTGGACTTGGGCACGCACCAGAACCCCCTGTAGGTCTCACTAAGACCCACTCTGCTGGCCCCACCCCAGAGCTGAGGATTCAGTAGGTCTGAGAAGGGACCTGAGAGCCTGCCTTTCTAAGGAGTTTTCAGGTGACAATGAGTGAGCCTTGATAGAGAAGACCATCCGCTGCTCCTTGTCTGCTTCCAGGGCTGTGCTGAGTATAAGCTGCTTCTCTGAGGAGTGTAATTAGGATAAGTGATTTCTCCACCTCTTTTGTTTAGAAAAACACTCTTCTAGGGTCCTGCATTGCTGCCTCCCAGTAGCCTGTGTGTGCTTCCCACATGCTTTGGTTCTCTTTGCCTCAAATATCCATTGTGCTTTTTTGCACAAGCCAATCCTGACCTATCTTCACGGTCTAATTTAATCTTCACCTCCAGAAAGTCTTCCCCATGCTCTAATCTACAGGGAGCCTCTAGAGAGATCCCTTGTCAATATTTCTGCTGATACTCATTATTTGGCGCTAAGAAATTCAAGTCGCCTTTGAGTATTGTTTAATATTTGCGTTTTAGTATTATTTGATATTTATGTGGAATAAATGTTTCTACATGTCTATCTAAACTTTCCCTTACCCCAAGCTAGATCATAAAATTGGTTTTTTTTTTTTCGTGGGGTGGGTGGCGGGGTGGCAAAGACAGAGTCTCACTCCGTCACCTAGGCTGGGGTGCAGTGGTACGATCTCAGCCCACTGCAACCTCCACTTCCTGGGTTCAAGTGATTCTCGTGCCTCAGCCTCCCAAGTAGGTGGGATTACAGGCATGTACCACCACATTGGCTACTTTTTGTACTTTTAGTAGAGATGGGGTTTCACCATGTTGGCCGGGCTGGTTTCAAACTCCTGACCTCAAGTGATCCACCCGCCTTGGCTTCCCAAAGTGCTGGGATTACAGGCGTGAGCTGCCGTGCCCGGCCATAAAATTCTTAATGATAGGAATTGGATCTTATATTCTTTGAACTTTTTTGTGATATTGACATAATTATTAGTAAACATTTAATTTCTTATTTTAATTATGTATTCATAAAAATGCTACCTTTTGGAAATCTCATTTCTTTCTGTATGTTACTGAATGTCTCTTAGGCTACTACATTTGGTTTCTTATTCATCATCATCTTTTTTTGAGACGGAGTCTTGCTCTGTAACCCAGGCTGTAGTGCAGTGGCGCAATCTCAGCTCACTGCAAGCTCCACCTCCCGGGTTCATGCCATTCTTCTGCCTCAGCCTCCCGAGTAGCTGGGACTACAGGTGCCCGCCACCACACCTGGCTAACTTTTTGTGTTTTTAGTAGAGATGGGGTTTCACCTTGTTAGCCAGGATGGTCTCGATCTCCTGACCTCGTGATCTGCCTGCTTGGGCCTCTCAAAGTGCTGTGAGCCACCGTGAGCCTGTGCCTGGCTGATACAGGTGTGAGCCACCGTGCCTGGCTGATTCATCTTCTTTCTTATAAAGATTACAAACTCTTCCTCTAGCAATTCCACACAATTAATCTTATCATTTGCTCCTTACTGTGTTTTGTTTCCTTAGCCTTTATAAGTTCTCATTGTGTGTTCTCTTGTCTTTTTCCCCTTTATCTCTGCATACCAGCTGTACAGTATTAAATATGATAGGTTCTAAGTAAATGCTCATTAAGATCCCTTTTAGCCAAAGTTGCTATGGGGTCATTAAAACTCTACTCAGGGCTCTTAATAGGAGGCAATGCCTGTACTGTGATCTCAGGTCCTACGGAATGGAGTCCAAATTTATGTGGATCACATAGGGCCCCAGTAAATCTGTTGAACAAAAATGCTAAAATCTCATCCACTGAAAAACAATTTGCAGAGGAAAATGTACAGCAGCCATGGTTCTGACATAGGCAGTGTGTTAATGCAGCTGTTGCCTCTGATAGGTAGAAAACAATGCAGCAGAATTGGATTCCTTGGGTTTCTGCTGATGTTTATGACTTGTGGGTGTTATTCATTGCAGTCAATCAATCTGTAGCTATTACTTACCTGTACACTCAGTAAGGTGATGGGTGACTTCATTGCCAGTGAAGAATTGCTAGCTCAGTCTCCTTGGAGGACATTACATCATAGGTCAAGGTATTTCAAATGTTTCAAAGTCATTTTTTCCCCACAATAAAGTAGTTTTTGCTAAACAGGTTTTCTTCTATTGTAATGGATGGAGCCAGGTCCTTGACAAGTAATCCTTTTAGATTCTCTGCCACAGATGAGAATCTCTTTTAAGAAATATCAGGCATTGCTATCTGCTTCCTCTACAGATTTCAAATGAAAAGGATCACCTCCTTTTCTGCCGGCACATTCTCAAATTCAAGATGGCATGGTCTCAGAATAGCTCACTCTAGTTCGGGGTGCTGGCACCCTGAGATGCATCTCACTTTTCCCTGGCAGCCCAGGGGGGCAGTAGATTCCCCTCTCCCGCCCACTGAGAGGCTTGGCTTTATTTATCCTGAATGTTAAGATATCCCTAAAGCATCTATCCCAGCTAGTGCCTCAAGCTGTCATTGTGCCACTGAGATTTGTGCCTACTCAGACTTGATGTCAGTTATTTAAAATCACTAGATAACACCTTCCTATTCCCATATACAGCCTTGTGCATGTCATCATATACTTTGTACTCACTGGTAACCATTTTTATTCTTGTCAATGAAATCACTTGTTTCCTTTAAATTGGGCAAATGAATGGGGGTTTCTCAGAGACAACTGCTTGGCATTTCAAATTACTTGACTGTTGGTTCCATGATTGCTTTTCAGGAAGTCAATAAATTTTGCTGGGAGATACCAAAGTACCCCCCTTAAATATGATTTGTGGCTTAGTATACCACAGTAAACCGTGAATGATTTGC